CGAATAGTCATGTAAATGTAAGAACCAGTGATCTCATGAGTAGCGGCACTCACGAATTTCACGTTCTAATCGAAAAAGGTTGTACTTGTGCGTGGGTTGGTGTTTGTGACGAAAGGCTTGATTTATCTACTTTTGCTGGATCACAACAATACGGATGGGTTTTGGGTTCAGGTGGATCCTATTATCATAATAACTCAGGCAACACTGATATTCCAAATTTCACACGGGATAATGTGGAAATCATTATTCACCTAAACATGGATAATAAGACGGTCGCTTTTTCAGTTAACGGTACAAGATATCCACCGGTCACATCATGGACTAATCTTCCATCAAAACTTTATTTTGTTGCCTCACTTATATATCCGGGAAAGTTCAAAATTTTACGACCAAAGGATTAAAGCTAATACATGTAAATACTGTAAAAAGAAAGGATTGTAATTTGATTAGTACGTTCTGTAATTTTTGTAATATCGTAGCTTATTGATTTTTAATTACTTCTAGAATCTTGTGATTAGTTAGCAACGTACGATATTCACACTTGAGAGTTTTTTTTAATAGGATAAACTCGTAATATTATATGAAAACGTCCTTTCTTTAATTTACGATTTTGTGGATACAGTAACCAAAAACCGTTTTATTTCAATTTTTTTGTGAAAAAGTTTTTAGTTTATAAATTATGACGAGTTTTTTTTTTGCTGAAAGTTTCTGTTTTATATATATTCTTGAAAATTTGATAGTTTTTCATGAGTGCAGAAGTAATTATACTATCTGTTGTGTTTATAAAAACATATTCGCATTAAAAAAAAACAAAAAAACAAATACAATATAAATAATAATTTGCAATTTTTTCAAAACAGAAGGCTTAAAAGTACAGCATTTTATTTCGACCATAGCATGCTAATGTCTCGAATAAAATAATTTGGGAGATACAGACTTCTAAAGGCTAAATCAAGAAAAATTTTCTTACGCTCTTTAGAGAATATTTTATAATTATTTAAAAATCTTTAAGGGTATTAAATCATTGATCCTAATTCAATAGTTAAATTATAATTGTTGCTTACTATTTCTTGTCAATAATTATTGTACTGTTGTAGGAGGGAAAAAAGAAAGTTGATTATGTATAATAAGTCCACCCAATTAAGATATAATTATGAGCTTGAGAGATTTTTTAATATTTTCTGGATTTTTTGAAATTTACTTCTTCTATATAAAAATAAGAGAATTGTACAAAGCAATAAAAATAAAAATAAAGTATCTTTTAATTACCAACTTACTACATTATTTAATATATTTATTTATTTTATGTTATATTCAATACTTCTTTAATTTAATATAATTAGTGATTACAACATAGCAACAGACTCATTAATTTTATTTCAATATTGTATAAATATAAAGCATATTCTGTACTCTATATATACTGTATATGATAATTTTTTAAAATAACAAATAATAGTAGAATTATATATAATTATCAGGGATTTTAGTTGCTTCTGTAAATGAATTGGTAATACAATAAAAGTTTTTTGCTTATTTCTTGATAATGTAGGTTCTTGTACAAATTAGATAACAATATTTATTATAAACCATAATAATACTTAATATTCAAATATTTTAAAACATATGGTACTTTATATCTATTGCTTTATACTTGAGCAAAGTTTTATTTAAATGTTTGAATAGTACAGCTTTGGATATAAAGTATTCTGTGTAGTGCAATTGTTTTTTTTCTACTTTGAGTTTTAGAGAATAGGTTCTAAAAAAAGAATATCAATTCTAGATATGTCAAATGAAAAGCCAATCTTTATTAAACATATCTAATTAAAAGAGTGATTATTTAAATATTTAAACAAATTATTTAACTGAAGTTTAAAATAAAATAATTTCTATTTACTATATATTAAACTAATTTTGAAAAACAATTATATTAAATATTAATCATGACTTGAAAGCAAATCTATATATTTAGTTACAACACTTTTATATATTTAAATATTTTATAAACATTTCTAATTATTCACTAGATATTATTTAAGATACTGTATATGAAGATTTAATAAAGTTCTTTTTATTGTTTAAATAATTAGTAAAAATTAAGATAAATGAATTTATTTTTTGAATCTTATATTAAACTCTTCTTAGTAAAAAGGTATATATATATATATAATATATTGGATAATTATTTTTGAAAATGAATCAAAAATTTTCAGGGTACAAATTTATTACTCCATAATTAAGAGATACTGTATATTATTTCTGTTTCATTTTTAAACTGCTTATATAATTTTGAATGACATAACAAATTCAGAGCACTATAGCTCAAAATTCTAGTTATAAAGTTTTTTTCAATTCTAAGTAACTATTTGAGAAAAGACTAGAAGAACAACATTTGTTAAGAGTCTAAAAACAATGAAAATAGAAATTTTATAAATAATTTAGCTTTTTCTGTTACAGAAATTCTCTTTGATAATTGTTCAAAGTATAATAAATAATTTCTAGCTAATTTTTTGTATAAATAAATGAATCACATATAAAAATTAAATTAGAAGTACATAATTTACATTTGACTAAAATATTATAAAAAGGTTGTATTTTTCTTCAACTATGAAAAACAATTATTAATAATTATGAATAACTAAAATTATAATTAAAACTTTGATTTATTTTGATATTTCTTTGATTATTTTCTTTTTTTTATTTATTTTGTTTTTATTCACTTTTATTCAATAGAAGCATCCTGTTTTACAAATGTCTAAATTAATACAACTTTTATTTTGCTCTTTTAAGACAATAACAATATAATTTATATAAATTTCAAAATATTATTTATTTAATTCTTATTAATATATTTTTTTACAATAAATAAAAATAAATTAATTAATTAATTAAAATAAATAATATGTAAATAAAAAAACTCTTTCCCACAACTTTTCAATTCGTAAAAAATTTCCTTTTTTGGTAATGACATGAACGGTAGACAGTAA